CGAAATATTATTTGACTGTTAAAATAAGAAAATTCTGTCATTTGTGATGACTTGGATGTACCTGGAGGACATTATGCTACATGAAAGAGGCCAGGCCCAGAAAAATACACTGTATGATCTCCATTTTACATGGAATCTAAAAAAGTTGAATTTATAGAGGTAGAAAGTAGAATAGTATTTGTCAGAGGCTATGTGAGTTAACTTGATTTTGGTAATTATTTCACATTGTGTGTGTTATGGTTGGGATATGAGGTATTCCCCCAAAGCTCCTGTTAATACAAGAATATCCAAAGGTTGAATAATTGTATGATGAAAGCTGAAACCTGATCAGTCCATCCAAGTTTGGGTAGACTGACTGGTTGTTAACCATAGGCAGGTGGGGCATGGCTGGAGGAGGTGAATCACTGGGGTCATGCCTTGGAAGGGTAGTTCTTCCTGTGGCCCCTCCCCATTTCTGTTACCTGACTGCTATGAGATGAGAAATTTTTGTCTGCTGGCTCTTCTGCCATGATGTGCTGCCTCACCTTAGGTCCTTGAACAATGGAGTTGGCCATCTATGGACTGATACCTGTGAAACCGTAAGCCTCAGAAAAGCTTTTCCTCCTCTAAATTGTTCTTGTCAGGTAATTTGGTCCTAGTGATGCAAAGGCTGACCAAAACAGAAATGGGTACCGAGAAGTGAGGTCATTGCTATGGCTCATCTGAGCGTGTGGTTCAGAATCTTTTGTAAAGGGGTTGCATGAGAAATTTGTATAATTTTAGTGTTGTAGACTGGAGGAGCTTTAGAATTTTGGAAGGACAGCTTAATGGGAAATTCTGGTGGGTTCTCAGAAGACCAGAATGCCAAAAGGAATGTGGACTGTGCTTATGAGGTTTCAGAGGGGAACGAGGACTCACACTATTGAGAATTGGAATGGAGACTACTCATGTTACATTCTGGCAAAGAACTTGGCTGCATTATGTCCACGTCTTGAGACTTTGTGTGAAGCCGAACTTAAAGGTGGTGGACTCATTAGTCTAGTGAGGGAAGGTTCAATGTAGCACAGCATTCAATCAGTGGCATGGATATTGCTGGCCGACTTTAGTCAGGTTTCCAGTGAGATTATGGAGCAGAAAGCAGAGCTAAAGAATTTAAAAAACTTGTAGTGTGATTAGAAAAGGATGTAAAACTGGGGCCACGGAAGCTTATTGAAGAGATTACAGCCCCTAAATATATGCTAAGAACTTTGCACAGACACAATTAAAAAAAAATGGCTTGAAGACATCTTAGAAATTTGTAAACCAAGCCCCCTGCAGGCTCAAGGGATATTCCTTTGAGAAGAGATCCTGGGGATATGCCCAAGGGGCCTAGGAAGGTGTTTCACCACTCTAAGATATGTAATCACAGGTCAGTGTAGCCCAAATACCAGGGAGCTCAGCTACAGTGCAAACTGATAGCTGACCTTGGTGGCATCCACATGGTGCTTCTTCTGCAGGAATGCAGGATACTTGAGGTAAGGATCGTGGAGGTTTCCACCAAGATTTCAAAGGCAGTTCTGGGAGGTCAGGAAATCTGTACCACCATCAGAGTCCCTGCAGGCTGCCCCTGTGACGGCAATGCATGAAACTGTCAAGGACATGCTAACATTTGAATGGAGACCACAGAAATTAAGAGATGACATTTACTGTTGGCTGGGAAAGCTGTTGGCTTCAGAAAAAGCCAGGGTAAAAGAGTCCATGTGTGCTGCAACCAGCAAGGTCAAAGGGGTGGGGATTCCCAACTCTTTTGGAATGCATATCTCTCCAGCATGTGTCCTAGATGCTGTATGCAAAATTATAGGACCTGTTTGCCCAGCCCGGTTTCAGTCTTGTTTTGGCCTCATCCCTTCTTTCTATGTCCCTATTTCTCTTTTGTAGACTGAAAATGTTTACTCGGAGCCACTGTGTCTTGGTTATATATAACTTGCTTTTGAATTTTTATAGGGACTCACAACCAAAAGTTTGCCTTGAGTCTTAGAGATGACTTTGGACTTGGACTTTTGGGCAATGCTAAACTGTTAAGACTGGATTTTGCACTGTGAGATAAACATGAGTTTTTTGGGGGCCAGCGGCAGAATATTATGGTTTGGATATGAGTTGTCCCCCAAAAGTTACTGTTAATATAGGAATATTCAGAGGTAAAATGTTAGGTTATGAGAACTGAAACGTAATCAGTCCATCTTAGTTTGGATGGGCTGACTGGGTGGTAACTGTAGGCAGGTGGGGCATGGGTGGAGGAGGTAAATCACTGGAGGTGTGTCCTGGAAGATTTGTCCTGCAGTCCCCCTCCCACTTTCTGTATCCTGACTCTGTCCTGAGATGAGCAACTTTCTTTTGCTGGGCCCTTTCCCCATTATGTGCTGCCTCACCTTGGGCCCAGAGCATGGAAGTTGGCCATCTATGGATTGAAGTTTCTGAAACCATGAGCCTCAAATAAACTTGTCCTCCTCCAAATTGTTCTTGTCAGAAATTTGTTCACAGTGCTGACTGAAAACAGACTGAAACAGAGCCCATATATCAAAAGTTCACATTGTATACTGTCACTGTGTGCAAGTTTTAATTGCCAATTATACGGCAATAAAGAAAAATAAATAAATATATAAATTTAATGGGGTTGAATTTAACATTTTCCTTTGCTATTTTATTCATAGTTTAATAAATTTGTCCATCCCATAATTTTATAAAAATATTACTATATATGAGTCCAACATTTTTATAGTTTTGTATTTCATATTCATGTCATTGATCCATACGGGTCACTTCTGTGTAAGGTGTGGAGATTCTATATCTCTATTTTCCAAAGTGATTGTCTCAGCACTGTTTATGGAATAGTAATTATTTTCTTCACTGATTTGCAATATTTATCTATAATTAAATAGATTTCTACATGTGCCTGCCCTATTCTTAAGCTCTTTATTTTTAGAAATTATTTTATTTATTTTTTTTTAAAGAGAGAGAGAATTTTTTTAATACTTGTTTTTCAGTTTTTGGTGGACACAACATCTTTATTTTATGTTGTGCTGAGGATCGAACCCAGGGCCTTGCACATACTAGGCAAGCGCGTTACCGCTTGATCCACATCTTCAGCTCTAGAAATTATTTTATTTTTGATTAAAATATATATGAGTTGTCTGTATTAATGGAATTCAATGTGATTTTTCAACACACATATCCGGCATACACTTACCAGACCCAACTTCCCTTTATCTGTCCCTTTTCCCCTTCTTAACCTCTGGTAATCCCTTTTCTACTTTCATGTTGACTTTGTTTATTTTTCACATATGAGAAAGAACAATCTGTACTTGTCTATTGGAAACTGGCTTTTTTTTTCACTTTTGTTTTCCAGTTCCATCCTTTTGTTGCAAATGACAGAATTTTATTCTTTGTTATGACCAAATAATATTCCATTACATATCTGTATCACATTTTTTTTTATTCATCCATCTGTTGTTGGGTCCTTTGTGTTTGATTGATCTATTTTTATATCTACATCAATATAAAAGATATAATATTTTAATTATATAAGTTTTATAATAAGACTTGATATTATTTAATGCAATATTTCTCACATTGTCTTTTTTTCAGAGAAAGAATCTTGGCTCTTATTGGATTATCACCATTCTATGTATGTTTTAGAGACATCATTTTATAATTTGTAATACAAAACAAAACAATAAAAACATAAAATCAGAATTTTGACTGAAAGTACATTGAATCTATAGAACATTTTAGTAGACGTGATAACTTTATGATCCTAGTTTTTGCAATATACAAACATTTGTCTCTCTTTGATTTTAAGTATTAATGTAATATTTTTCAATAAAGTGGCATAATTTCATTAATAAAATTTTATATTTTGTTAAATTTATTCCTGAGGAATTCATATTTTATTGACTTTTTAATAAAAAGCAAAATAAGGATTATTCAGAAAAATATGCAGAAAATCCTAAAGAATACACAGGTATGATAATCGTGAAAAGATTTTGAAAAGTTGGTTAATACAAAACCAGTAATGAAAGATTATATCACATAATTAATAACATAGCAGTTATATTTATGAAATTATTTATTGAATGTTGACATAATTTTAGGTTGTATGTTTTGACCTGTCATTAAGGACATTTTCCGTGTTTGCAGTTTGGTTATTACATTTTAGATAATTTTATAATAAACTTTATTACATATGTATCTTGTGCACACATATATTATTTCTATTGAACAAACATACTCAGAAGCAGAATTTCTGGAACATGGGCTATGTTTATTTTCACTCTAGTAAAGATGCTAACGTGCTTTAGAAATCATCCTCCTTATTACATTTCCCCCAGGAAATGAAACAAGAAAGCATTTATTTACTTGCTACATTCTATTTCTTGTATCTGATTGGTCCAAGTTTAATTTAAAGACTTTTACCACAAGCTTTTGTACTCAGGTCCTGTGTGCAGCTACTGGGGAATCTAGATTCTACCTCTGTGATATGGCATTTCCTTTGAATGCAGAAGCAGTAGGTGGATCCAGAAGTTCCAAGGATCCAGAAAGGCCAGACCTTGACTACAACAGTGGAGTTAATGAATGTCTTACTGAAGCTGCCCTTTACCATATGAGAAGAAAAACGATAGTTTGCATAGGAAATCAAGCCACTCTGGAGTCAGCCAGGATTCTTCACTGAGCCAGTGGCTTAGGTGATGGGCAGATGGAGCCATGAGTGTGGGATGTGTATAATCAGGACTCTGCAAACCTTTTATGCCCTCATCCACAGCTGCCCTTCAGAGTAGTAATGTGATGCAGGCACTGAGCCATGTAAAGAAAGGGAAGGAGGATCATCACAGGGGTCCGGTATCTGTGGTTTGACTAAGTCATTGGTTGACATGAGAGGGAATCCTCTCAAAACACAGGATTTCAAAATTATTGCTTTTTATTTGTTTCCATGTTGGCATGGTTCTTTTCTGATCCCCCAGTGACTATTTCATTTTCTAGGTATGATGGCGCCTGCAACTTCCTCTTTTTCTGGGTACTTCATGGCCATTCTTCTCTTACAGATGGAAATACTCACCTCAGGTAGGGAAATCTATTTATTTTTCAAGATTTCATCTCATCTATGAAGAAAAGATAATGGTAATAAATGATACTGAAGGAAATGATTGAGCTTTCTTGCTGCTAATCTGCAGATTTTACCCATCAGTTATAATTTTTTTAAGTTGTCAATGGACCTTTATATTTATTTATTTGTATGTGGTGCTGAGAATCAAATCCAGTGCTTCACACAGGCTAGGCAAGTGCTCTACCACTGAGCCACAACCCCAACCCAATCAGTTAAAATTTTGAGGATGGAAATGAGTGTGAATAATAAATGTTATTTGAATTGCTGTGTCTTTCTCAGCCGTGATTATATGCCACAGTGTTACGATGATAAGCCCAGGAAAAAAGACAGATAAACGTCTAACATCTCCCAATGGGGAGCTCAAATTCACATTGGTAAATTACAATGAATATACCTCTTTTATTTGAGGACCCACCACAATCATTTATATGACCATATGAATTAGAAGTTGATTGGATCCCCCAGAAGAAGGGTGATTATTATTTGTAATTTCATAATAAAGTTATCCCCGAAATTAATGATTTAAACCCACAGTTTTGTGGGTCAGGAATCTTGTCACTGCCCAGCTGGGTAATTTTTCTGCTACATGTGATATAAAGTGAGGTCACTTTCTGTATTCAACTGGTGGGAAGGGTGATCTGAAGGACCCAAGGTGGCTTTTCTCACATGTCTGGCATTTTGGTGGAATAGGCTGGAAGGCTGGGATCACCTGAAATGTTCAACTAACAAATCTACATGTGGCCTTTACGTCATAGTAACCTCAGGACTGTCAGACTTTATATCTAGCTGCTCTGGGTTTTCAGAAAAATTTTTACAAAAGGATAGACTGAGAGCTGCTCATATTTTGAGATGGGATCAGAAACTACTGCAGTCTCTATTCTACTATATTCTATGAGGTATATAAATTACAGAACACACAGCTCCAAGAGGAAGGAACAGGGGCACTTTGTCTTCAAGGAAGGAGCAACAAAATTTGTGGCTCCCTTCAATCCAAAACTGATACAGGAAAAAGTAGCCAGTGTATTTTAAAAGTAAAAGTTGCTAAGTTATACTCTATGTATATATGATATATCAAAATACATTCTACTGTCATGTTTAACTAAAAAAGAACAAATTAAAAAAAAAAAGTAAAGGTTGCTGTTCAACAGCTGAGGTCCACATCCCGCTTCCTGCCAGTGGGAGCATCTTTTATTCATTTTTTAAAAATTTATAAAATGCCTCATATGTTTAGATAATGTTTTATGCACCAAGAAAATACAAAGAAATAAAATGGAGTGTTATGTGTCATGACTGATGGATTAATGGACTATGAGAAAAAAATAAGAAAAGGAATTAAAAAGAGAACATCAGGGAGTGACATGTGCTATAAAGACGGGCAGTGGGCTGGGATGTGACTCAGCGGTAGAGTGCTTACCCACTTATTTACAAGGCCCTGGGGTCAATCCCCACTGTTGAAAAAGAAAATGTGTCTGTCATTGAGGGGTGGTCATGAGACCGTCCTCTAAGGAGCTATCGCTGAAGCCGGGACCTGAGAGATGAGAAGGAGGCAGCTATGGGAGACCCCAAGGGAAGACCAGGGCAGTCAGAGTGGAGATGCAGAAGTGAAGGGGATGAGGTGGTGCATTCTGCTGCGGCTTTCAGACTAAATGCTTGGCGTTCCACTTCCTCCACAGAGCAGTTCACTGTGCGCAGCTCCGCGAGCCACAGGGTGGTCACGGTGGGCGCACAGACAGAGTTCAGCTGCCAGCTGTGGCCACCCCAGAATGCACGGCACATGGAGGTGGGCTGGTTTCGGAATCAGTCCTCTCCGCTGGTTTACCTGCCTGCGAATGAGGAAGAGCGCTCTGGAGAAAGCACGCAGAACTCTGCGAATCCCACGTTATTCCTGAAGGACGCCCTAGAAGAGGGCAAAATATCCCTTAGAATCTACAATATCAGTATTTTTGATGGAGGGCTGTACCACTGTTTCTTTAGGGATGGTGACACCTATGAAGAGGCCACTGTGGATTTGAGGGTGGCAGGTAAGACTAGAGAAACCTCATCTCCAGGTTTCCTTGCTAATGCCATTCTGGGTCCACAACCCCAAATTCATGCATGGGAGATCCTGAGAAAATGATCTTGGGGCATTTAAAAATATTTATGACAATAATATAGCCGAATAGTAGAATTTATAGAAAAGTTATGGTGAATAATAGAATAACTGAGATACCATCAATTATATTATACATATAATATATTACATTATATTTTTATATTATATTTTCCTTCTGATCAAGTTAAAGTCACTGTTGTATTCTTCAATAGTGCCATTCACTTTCTTCCTTTTCAAGAATAACCATTAAACTCACATTATGTATCTTTTCATCTGGTTTATGTATAGGCATCAATAAAAATAGATGTTATTATTATTTTTTTGTGTTTAAAAATCTTATACAACAGTGTCATTATAAATATTCTAACTAATCTAATTGTACTTAGTGTGTTATTATTGATATCAGTCCAAGTCTATCCAAGTAGATGCAGCTTACTCTTTATCTGCAGTATTGTATTTCACCAGGTAAGTATCTAACCATGGACTTCTGTATACCAACATTTGTGGACATATGCATGCAGAGAAGTTTCTTTCCTATGCTATGCTGTTATGTTGGGTGTGAGAATTCCTTTAGAATATAGAACTAGGAGTTAAGTTGCTAGGTTTTTGTGCATAATTATCTTCAAATTAGTTTCACAAATTGCTCATTGAAATAATTAGGTCCATTTGTACGGGACTCAAGTCATGAAAACACTATATCATTATGGATACTTGTATTATGCTTTTAATTTTGCAAGTTTGATTTTAGCTTTGACTTTTCTCATTAGAAAACTTTTGCTTATTTCTTTCTTATTTGCTGGAGACTAGATTTTGTCTGTTTCTTGCTTATTATCTTTATCAATACTACTATTGAGTTCTTTGATTTTTTTTCTTGATTTATGGGAATTAATTTTAATCTAGATATCAATTTTCTGTTTTTTACATGATGCAATAATTTTTAGTGTATTGATATGTTTTACAGACATTTTTATGGTGAAAGATATAATCTGATAAAATCAAATTTACAGTTTATCAATGATGGTTTGTAATTTGTGTCCTGGAGCCAGCCACACTGGGGAGCTTTAGTTACTTTATGGCTTCCAATTCGTGGTAATGTCAGTCCCAGTTCTGTTCCTTCCGAACATTCCAGTGGCAGTGAAGTGATATGTCTCCAAGGTTTTCTTTGTATTTGCTGATGCTTCGTGATGTTGAGCGTATCTGAAGATACTTGTCGTTCATCTGGATAGCTTTTAAAATCAAATGCCTCATATAATCTTTTGTCTACTGTAAAAATTAAGTTTGTCTGTCTTATTGATTAATGACATGTTTCATATATTTTGGACACAGTTCCTTTCTCAGATGTGTTAGAAATGTCATCTTCTAATGGTCGCTTTCTTTTTAACTGCTTGTATATTGTCTTTGGATAAACAGAAATTTAATAAATTTTGTAAAGTCTAATTTACCAGTCTTTTTTTCCTATTGTTCATATGGTTTGTGTCCTGCTAGCTTAGATTTGGGTTGGAGAATCATCCTTTCCCTACTTGTGGCTACTTTCATGAAACTTATGGCATACCTAAGAAGGCCCATTGACTTCTCAATTTTTGAGTCCACACTGTTAATTGTAGTATCACTTCTCTCTCTTCTCCCCAGCTATAGGCACAGACATACAGATTAGTGTTCAGGTTTCTGACACAGAGGGGCTGCTGGTGGAATGTGACTCAGGAGGGTGGTTCCCACAAGCTGAGATGACGTGGAGAGACAGCAGTGGAAATACAATTCCACACTCATCAAAATATTACTCTCAGGATGGAACTGGATTATTACACCTGAAGATGAGTGTTCTTCTCAAAAACAGCACCCATGGTCCCGTCACTTGCTGCTTTTACAACCCAGCCACTGGCCAGGAGAAAAGAGCAGGTATTGTCATATCAGGTGAGTGCTTGTGGTGGGGTTTATAAAGGAAGAGCTGTTTTAATCAATGTGTCAAAATAAGAAGGAAATTGAGTGAAATAATAAATGTTAAATTGCTTGATAAACTATGAGCTTCTGCAGACCTGTACTATTTAAATCATATTAAATTGCTAGGAACAAGTAAAATACCAGACACTGAAGGGAATACTAATAAAAGTACAAGGTATTGACATGATTAGAGAAAGAGCTCTTATTTTTTGTGGCATGTTAAGGATTGAACAGTTCTATGACCATTGATATTTCTAATTTGGAAAAAAAATAACATGTGTGGTATTTTGAGCTTGAAATTAAACATTGTGAGTGAAATGGTTTTATAAGATATAAATCAGTATGCTTAAGTAAGACTAAGTTAAAAAGTATACATGGCACAAGTTGACTTCATTGCTACCTTATGAAGAAGCAGGCGGGTAGAGAAGTCAGTTACTATAGATCCATTAAGCAAGTGACAAACCCAGGATTAGATCCCAGATTCTCATCCATGATTCAAGGCTTTTTTTTCTGGGAAGCGATGGGTGTGATGAGTCAGGTTAGAAACAAGCATCATAAAATTGTGCCCTTTGTGCTTCAGTGACTAGGTGCAGTAGCTAGGGGACCTAAGGTGGATGGAAAGGATAAGATGTAGAAGGAAGGAAAGGGCCCAGCAGCTCAACTGCTATACAAGAGGACTCACCAGTTCAGACAATGGACTGTCAGATAGCTCACAGTGAATGTGGCTCTACTCCTTGAAGCAATTCCCAAACTCATTATTGCTGAACCATCCTAGGGGCTTCAGTCCTCATTTGTGTGGTTAAATCGGCTTTCATTGTTATAACCTTATTCTAATTCTTGGGAGTGAGAAAACAGTACACAAATTTCTTTTTATATCTAGAGGTTGCATATATCACCCTATTTCTCTTCTAATGGCCCAAATTAATTTCTATGGCCAACTTTGAGGTAGGCTGTTGTATATAGTCTTTCACTTAGTGACCATATGCCTAATAAATATTTCTGAGTATGGGTCATGAACCCCTTAAAAAACCTAGAAAACCTGTTTATTAAGCACAGATAGGTTTATAAGAAATAATGCTATAAGGGAAGATATTATCTGAGCAGAGTTTTATTCATATCCTCAAATGGGGATATTAGGAGAGGGGATTTATAGAATTTTAGAGTTCCTTCTAGGTAGTTTAAAGATAGGTCTTGCAAGGTGGGAAAGTGATTAGATAGCTTTGGACTGGTGAGCACAGATAAAAGTCCTAAAGTGTCTTGATGAGCCAGTTGTTAATCTTGTTGAGGAGGCTACTCGGGTTGATTCACAATGTTACCTCCCAGGAACAAGTGTTTCCTGGAGCCAGTAGCCAAGTTATAATTGCTCATTTTCAGTTGTTTAACATAAAGATAGGAAAGTAGGACTAATACCCAAACTGCTTACAACAAGAACAAGAAATTATTAGGTCTCAGTATTGCTTGACTCAGATACAAGGATTGTTTTAGTTTCATTTCTTAAGGGATACTATTACCAAAAAGGAAAATGGGGACTGTTCCTTGAGAAAGACACCATCAGTGTCTACCAGGGGGTCCTGGGAGATGAGCTCAGATCAATTTTAGCTCTATTGTTAGAATGCCACAAAGAGAAGGTAACGGTTAACTAGATCCAGTTTATAAAGGCTCAATATCAGGGAATTATGAAATTATCCTTTTCCCTCTCAGTCAAGGAGGAACAATGAAGAAGATGATGAAACAAATCTTCTAAGCCCTTTATCCTGTTCATTAAAACCCCACTATAGATGGGGTTTCGTGAGGGATAATTTGTGATCCAAAATGTTCTCCTTAATTAACTCATGATTTCAATATCCTGCTCTACTTCATTGGGACTTTACTTCTGTTTTCCTTTCCTATTTCTATTCGGAGTCACTTAAGCTTCTGAAACTGGACAAGAACAATCAATGTTGTTGAAGCTAAAATGTGAAGGTAGAGTCTGAACTCCATGATGATTGATTTTTCAAAATTTGAATCAAAGCCTTTCATAAAATGAAAAATCAAGTTCAGTCATGGTGATAGATAAGTTAAGGGAGACTCTTTTTTTTTTTTTTTTTAAATATCATTCTTTAGTTGTACACAATACCTTTATTTTATTTATTTTTATGTAGTACTGAGGATTGAACCCAGGGCCTCACATGTGCTCTATCACTGAGCCACAGCCCGGCCCTTAAGGGAGACTCTTGACAATGAAGCTGTGTTTTACTTGTTTTTTTTTCCCCCGGTTGTTTCTAGAATCCATGTAATCCTCAAGTTCCTATAGTTTGGTGCTATTTTATTAAGTTATTCTGGTATGCCTCAAACGATTTATTAATTTAAATATACTGCAATAGTTATTTTGAGTTTTGCATCTGAAAACATCTACCATACAGAGGTATTAATTATATGATTCTGTGGTTGGTTGGTTGGTTCATTTGCTTTCAATCTTTCCTTCTTCATTCCTTGGGAAAATGTCTCTTTTAATAACATTTTATATATAAGTCTCTTTAAATTCCTCTAGTGATTGGTATATAAGAATGAGCCAAATGCTAACTCTCTGCTCTCCCTATTTTCTGGACTTTGAGGAATTTGAGTAGTTACTTGCAATGTCACCACTAAGCAATTCACTCTTACTGATTTTTTCCAATGTTTTGAGTACAATATTAGGCATCCTCGTCTTGGGAGAATTTTTCTATCATATTGGTCCTACAGGAAGTACCTAAAAGGAATTTAATACTGAATGTCAGAAGACTTTCTCAATTTTAATTCTTTATTATTTTAGAGCTCTTATATTTTTATGAAACTTCTTTGAGTTTTACCAGTGACACTTCTGATCCAGTTCTATAGGCAATGACTTCCTCAGATCCCAGAATCCTGTTCTAGAATTTCCTCCATCTCACAGATTACCCACTAGAATATAAGAACCAAAACAGTAAGTTATTCCTCTATCCAATCCTGTTTCATCCTTGGCCCAATAACTGCCAAGTCCTGTTCTTTCCCCAGGTCCAGCTTCATTGGCCAATAGCCCTCACCTAAACCCAGAGTACATAATATCGAGGGTAATAGGGACCTTACGTGCAGGTGGATCCTGCTTCCATGTACAGTGGAGTCTTATGATCCTGCTGTTTTACTTACCAGGTACTTCTGCTCTCTCTTTCAGATATCCTGTTGAAATCAAAGTGTATGTTTTGGTCAGCTACAATTGCTCTGATATATGCGATCATTATGATCCCTGTGTTGGCTCTTCAATGTTGCAGAAAAAGAGGTATTTAATTTAGGAAGGATAAAGCATTAAAGAGCTCTCATCTCTTCTTTACTTGATACCAAGTGTTTGGAGGTGGTGATACAAAACTGTGTGAATCTGCATCTTACTGCATGCCACTACTGTGTTTGCCAAAGGGGGCCTCCTTGTCTTGAGCCAGGTCTCAGACTAAGCTGCTGCCCTCCCTCCTCACATTGCTCTTCAGAGTCAAGACACTGCCACTGCTATTACAGCTGTGACCACCAAGATCTCCTGGTCCCTTCAGAGGTCATTGCTGATTTCCTCCCACTTTCTGGACCATTTCCTGGAATATGAAAAATAATAATAGATCTGTTCTCTTCCTTAGGCACCCATATATTTTTAGACTTTTGCTCAAAGAAAAAGAAAAATGTAAGAACCAATTAACCCAATTCTTGGTCTTTCTGTGTCTCTTTTCCATTGCTCTTTTGTTCTTCTTGTGAAATTAACCTTAATATACACTCTTCCCCCCACCCCCCCTCATTAGGGGCTATAAAATGCCACCTTAATTTCAGGGAGCTGAGAGAAAGCATGAGATACAATTGTGAATGGTCTCAAATAGTACTGGACATTAGATCTTTAGACAATGAAAGATGAGTAACAGAAGTGACAGGTGATAACACGCAGATTCCATCACCTGTCACTGAGAGAAAGGTGTTCTAGGCTATTCTGGATGGAGGATGTGATGGACAGGAAACCTCTGGGAGGTGATCCAATCTGTAGTGAGGTATGCACAAGTCAAAGGATAAGGTGCATTTTGGGAGTTACTGAGCAAGACTTACCTTGATTCAGGAAACCGGGCTAAAAAAAGAATAGAGAGTGCATCTTGGCTAGTCCTCTATCCAATTCATAAAGACCTCCACAAATTTAAATGAGTATTTATCATGTGCCAGAAGATGTAATCAACAATTTATCATCCATATCTTAACTGATTTATTAAGATAAATTTATCCCTATAAAAGCAGGTCCCATTTATTATCATCATCTTTCAGATGAAGACATTAAATAATAATCAGAGTTATTAGGAAAATTGTTCAAACTGAAGCAACCTATAAATGTGGATTGAAACCTAGATGTGTCAAAGGTCAATACTTTGCTCTGCCAAGTAGGGTAGCACATGCCTCTAAATCCAAGGGCTGGAGTGGCTGAGGTAGGAGGATCACAAGTTCAAAGCTGGCCTCAGCAAATTAGCCAGGTGAGACCCTGTCTTAAAATAAAAACTTAAAAAAATGACCTGGGGATGTGGCTCAGAGTAAAAGTGCCCAGGGCTTCAATTCCTTGTACCAAACAAACACTTTGCTTTTGTAATGGCAAAAGGATGCTTTTCTCATCAGAAGATATGCGGTAGCAAGACCTACTTTGCATACTTAAAGTGATGGAGAAGTCACTAACTCATTAGAACTTGACTTATTTTTAAAAGTCATTCAACAAATGTGTATTGAACATCTCTTAGATACTAGGCACATCTAATCTCAGTGCCTAGTTTCTAAGATATATTAACAATAAAGCAAAGAGGGAAAAGATAAAAGTCTTTGCTCTCCTAGAGCTTACTTCTAGAATAATGTGAAAAAAGTTCTTTCTTTTAGAACTTTCCTGGCCGTGATTGCTGGTATCTGTGATAAACAAAATAAACAAACCAAAAAAGAAAACCCTGAAGTAACTGACATCTCCTAGAAAAAAAATCACATAGAAAACTATGAACTAAGTTAAAACAAACAAACAAAAAGAACCCATAGTCTTTTCTAGGTTTTTTTTTTTCATTTCAAGTATTCATTGTTCCTTGCAATATCTCAGAATAATTGATCAATCTTGCCATTTTACTTTAGGTTCAGTAAATGAATAGTTTTTAAAAAACATCTAGCTTTATGTAGTAAAAATAAGGAGAGTTGTCCAACCTTGAAATGATCTTTCTCATACTGTAGTATGAATGTAGGTATTCAAGTAAAGATGGAATGGCTAAATACCAGGGGTGCTGTAGAGAAGATTCTGGCACTACACCTTGCCATTACAACTGTGAAATTCTTGAGTTCCAAGGCTCTTTTCTCCTCTTTTAGCTAACTCCAGGTTTCCCAAAATTGCCTTCGCAAAACATTAAGCATTCAGACATGTTACGGTGAACCAGAGTCCCACACTCTCTAGGTCTTATTTCCAGGTTGATCACATGCTGTACTGTGTAGAACGGTAGGAAGAAACTCTTCTTCCTTACCCCGCTCTATCCTCAGCCCAGCTGACTGTCAGTCTTGGCCTCATCCCTAGTGCTGGGATATATCCTCACACATAGTCCTGCCTATCAGACCTGAGCCCTGACATAGGTTTAGTAGACCTCAATGAATAAAGCCTCAGGACATTTAAGTTTCTTGAATCCTGCGTATATGTGGCTATTTCAGTGCATTCCCCACGTCCTAGTTACCTAATTCTCCATCTCCTCCACTCTTTTTCAGTTCTACAGAATAGAAGAACTTGCTTTCAAGTTGTGCTTCAGGGTCTTCCTTTAGTGTTACATGTGGCCTTCTTACCTCTCTACTTCAGGTTCAGGAGCAGAGGTAAGTGGGACTGGAAAAATCAGATTTTTTTAGTTGATGTCCTTCCTGTCTGATACCTTTTTACATGCACGTTTTAGATAAAGTTGAGTGGCCTTTGTAGCAGTAACAGGATAAGGAGTCTGGATTTAGATGATGTCTTGAGGTTTCAGATGCTGCCCACTCAGCTGTGTAAGGACCAGAGTTTTTAAGCTTCTCTCCTGGATGTTTGTGTTTCCATTACTACTCAAATAGTAGCACACAAACATCAAAGGAAAGATGTATTTTGTCAGGTCTAGAAGCCATCTAATTCAGAGCCATTTACAAGACAAATTATTAATGTCACCTATGCATTGGCACCCAGCCAGTAATTTATGGCTGTTTTTGGTTTAGACAGAGGTGTTCTTTGAAATATTAATTTAAAAATCCAAATGAAGAATATAACTTGATTCCTGATTCAGTTTCAAGACTATTGAAAGCTATCATTTGGTCCTCTTGACTATGTATTCAGAGGCTATTTAGAAGTGCAACTATACTATATCATATACTTTATTATGTTAGTAATTGTTATGTTTAACAATACCCTTAACTTGTTTGCCTTTACTGAGAAGTGTTTACATGGGACAATGACTATTAAAGTAAACGAAAGGAGCTGTTATTATTTGCAAAAGCTTTGCCTTCATTCTTTAGACAAAACTGGACCAGATGTTAAACAGATTGCTTTTTCAAATTTAACATATATTTTTTGAGTTGCCGATAACAAACCTTATTCCAAACCTCAAATCTTAAATGAGCCCAAAAGACAGGTCCACCAGGATTGTCTAAAAAATAGCAAGGATGAGTAAAAATGTATAAGATATAATTCTATTTCTAACACTATGGAGAACTCCAAATCATTCTTTTTCTGACCACATGTGCTATAATATCTACATATGTATGTATGTGTGTACATTTCTATCTATCCATTTAATTTATAATCTTATATATCTGTCCAACTATCATTTTCAAGTTGTTTTGAACCATTAAGAAAATATTTTGAGTAATGGAAAAAAAGAGATATAGGTTTAGTCAGCTTGTTTGCTGCTGTGACCAAAAGATCCGACAATAACAATTAGAAGAGGAAAAATTTATTTGGGGGCTCACAGTTTCAGAGGTTCAGTCTATAGATGGCTGACTCCATTCCTTGGGGCATAAGGTAGTGCAAGACATCATGTCAGAAAGGTATGGTAGAGGAAAGAGGCTTAGGACATGGTACCCTGAAGGTGGGGGAGAGTAAAGGAAAGGTGGGGGACTCCCTTTACCACATATATGCACCAAAGACACAATCCCCAGGGACCCACCTTCTCAGTCACATCCTACCTGCCTATAGTTACCACCCAGCTAATCCCTATCAGGGGATTAATGCACTTATTAGGTTAAGACTCATGACCCAATCATTTCACTTCTAAACTTCCTTGCATCTTGTCACACATGAACTTTTGAGGGATACTTCATATCTAAGCCATAACATTCCACTCCCCAAAAGCTCATGCTAATCTCCCAATGCCAAATACATTTAGTCCATTTTCAAGAATACCCATAATCTTAACAGTTTTAGCATTGCCCAGAAGTCCAAGTCCAATACCTCTTCTGAGGCTCAAGGCAAACTCTTATCTGTGAGCCTCTGTAAAAATCAAAACCAAGTTGTACATATTCAATATCTAAAGGTACAGAGTAAACATTTTCATTCCACAAGGGAGAAATGGCATAGAAAGAAAGGATGGGACCAGAGCAAGACTGAAATTCAGTTATAGGCCCTGTAACTCTACAGCCAGCATCTGGAGCACATGGTATTGTGATGTTTTCTCCAAAGGGCTTGGGTAGCTTCACCCCTATGGCTTTGCTATTTGCAGCCTAGATGGCCTCACTCTTGGCCTATCTCTGTTCAATTCCTGCAGTTTCCTTGGCAGACAGTCTGTGGTATTGGCATTTCTCAGTCTTGGGAGTCTCCTCTGCAGCTTCAGCTTCCTTCTTACATCTTCACACATCTCCTTCTTAAGGGCTGCCCATAGGGACTCCAACCCTGGGGCACTCTGCCTGCCTTCCCAGGCCTTCCTTTGGTGAAAGCCTCTATACCCCCCAACCCCAGCATCCTGCATTTCTGTAGGGTTACTGCCAAGGTCTGCTACCATCTTAATCTGAAACCAAGCCTCCATGGACACTGACTGCAGCAGCTTCTGAGTGTCCGGGCAGTTGAGTATGGTCAAACAACTTCCTAGGTCCCCCTGTGCAAGTAGGGTGCCCCACTGGTCTCTTCTCAAAGAATTTTTACTTTTACAGCCTTCTGAGATGGGCATAGTCTTGTCAATTCCTGAGATACCCTTAAAACATCTTTCCTACTATTTCTGGAAAAGTATTTAGAGTTTCTTTAGTGACAGTAGTGTTTTTAACCACCATGCCTTCATTAGCTCTAGTTTTGCTGACAGATTTCTGGCCAAACTGCAAGTGTAAAAATGTTTTCTGCTTTCTACTCCTGATTACTACAATAAACTTGGCTAAAAGCCACCAGCAATATCTCGCAGAAAGTCTCGGGACACAGGCAGAATGTAGACAACTTCTCATCCGGAGCAAAACATGATGGCCTCAAGTCTATATGCCAATAGAGTCCTCTTTTTCCTCTGAAACTTCTTGAACCTAGTCTTCATTGTGCATGGTCCTATCAGCATTTTGGTCTTCTGAGTTCCACCAGCCTCACACATTAAACTCTGCTTACAACAATCTAAAACTTTCTCAGCTTGCACTGATACACTTTTTGAAATTCCTCCCACATATTCTGAAAATCTCCCAAATCTTCTGAACCACATGGTCAGGTTAGTCACAGCAATGACTCCACTTCTTGGTACCAATTTCTGTTTTAGTTAGCTCTTTTTATTAATCATATAATAATATGATTAATGCACATGAATGTATTAATCGGGTGGTAACTGCACATAAATAGGATGTGGCTAGAGGAGGTGGGTCACTGGGGCTTGCCTTTGGGGTATATAGTTTGGGGTATATAATTTGTCCTTGGTTTAGTGGAGCTCTCTCTCTGCTCCCTGGAGCTGTGACCTGAGCTGATTTCCTCTGCTACACCCTTCTACCATGTTATTTTGCCTCACCTCAGCCCCAGAGCAATGGAGTTGGCCATTTAAGGACTGAAGCCTCTGAAACCATGAGCCCCAAATAAACTTGTCCATCTCAATAATGTTCTTGATAGTTCTTTTGGTCACAGCGAAAAATCTGACTGAAACCATACCAAAGAATACCAATAAAAGTATCCTTACCTTGATAATTCATAGACGTAAACCCTCCTTCAATGAGATTGAAGTCATTAAATGGGTAAAACTTGGTAAAATTTAGTATTTTAAAGATAAAGCCAAAACTGATCGACTGCCCTAAAGGATATTAAGATTCAAGAAAAATTGTCAAAGACAACTTTTAGTTTTTGAGATTTTGTGTTCTTATTACAGAAGGAATATAATTAGATTTTAATTTTTCATCTTATTTGACAATTTAAATGAATTGCTTATGTTTTTGACATTAATGTTTCAATAACATTATTTTGTGTTTATTTCACATTCCTTTTCTTTATACATGCTTCCATTCTTTTTTTATGATCATTTTATTGAATATTTTTAATCATCCTGGTTTTGCTTTCATAATTTTAATCATTCTATGTCTTTTTACTTATAATGGACATAATTTAAACAATGGTGCCTATTATTTAAGCAGTTTCTTTAGAAAATCCATACAAGGAGGAAGAGGAGGAGGAGGAGGTTAACTATCATGTCCAAATTCAATTAATATCTTAAGTACTCATAAGAATAATAAGACCTTGGACTAGTTTCATAACATTTAACCTCCATGGAGATATACATTATGGTTGTTGAGGATTTTAATTATGTATTTAAACCTAATTCATGGTTATTATAATTGCTGTTTTATATAGAATCATTTATATTTATCCATCAGTATATACTTAAAATATTTTATAACATTTATTCTTTCTGACCTGTTAGAATTTACAAATACTATCACACTATCTGGTGGCCTTTATCTCATCTTTATTGCAATAGCTATTGGATTTTAGGTTGCATTTATTTTCTTCCAGTGCATTGAACTTATTGTTTCACTATTTTGGCTTCCACTGTTCCTGTTCTATTGAGAAGTCTGATTTCAGTGTACTTGCCACTTTTGAATTCAGCCTCTATTGCTCTGGAGATTCAAAAGACTTTTTTTGTGACTTGTGAATTTGTGTGTGTGTGTGTATACTTGCATGCCTCATTGTGGGATTATTTTTATTTTTCATAGTAACTATCTGTTTGGTTCCCTGATTTCTGCATTAGTATCTTGTATAAGGGCTCAAAAATTCTTAGCCATCATTGTTTTACATATTTCCTTTGCTTTCTTTATCTAATTTTTCTTCTTTAACAACTTTTATATGACCATTGATTGGAACTTTCTATTCTATCTCATATATTTTCTTCTTTATTTTCTACTTTTTCTTTCCATATTCATGTTGTTCAACATATTGTCAAGTTTACTAACTCACTCCAAAATTGACTAATTTGTTGTAGAATTTAGACTTTGAATTCTTAATTTCAAAAATTATGTTTCAATACATAATTTATTAATGCATTTTTCCATTACTTAAATAGATCGACTTTGTTCTACTCCAATATTATGTTGCATATTACAACTTCCTCTTTCATTCAAATTGCAGTTGCAAAAAATGTTTATTTATCCAACTGCTCAGAGTCCCAATGTGTTATATCTGTAAAATTTCCAGAACTTTTTATCTTTAAAAATCCTAAATGAGGACATAAAATAAATAAGAGTATGTTCTTGGTTAGCTATGGATGAATGAATAGAAATGACGTCTCACAATTTGCATTATAGCTCAGGTCAAATTACACATATCATCTGACTTAAACTATCTACTCTTGTCTCATCATGTCATAAAGCCTAGAGTAACTGTTCTAAATTTGATCTCTTCCTCTTACTAAGTAGGCTCCAACATATCTGGTTTCTTAATTTGTGCATGTTTTCCAGTCCCTATTTTCTTTTTTTAAAAAATGTACTGTTTAATTTTTTTTCTTTTTTTTTCCAGGCTTTATTTCAGATGACCTGTACTCATTGTATTGTGGATGGATATGGGATCTATGCATAATGTTGACTGTATTGATGGTGTTTTTCTCTGTGCTTATTCTCACTCTACTTAACATATCAACAGTAAGTGAGGCAGTGAGGGTGGGAACTCCACGAATGTATCTCCCATACCTCTACCTAAATCCCCTCGGTCATTAGACTTCATTCAATGAAACTTCTGTTATAGGGTCAAGTAGAATATAGAAAAAAAAATGGTGGCTTGGGTTATCCATGTTTCTCTCTACTTTCATAAGCAGACTGGGACCATTGTACAATTTCCCTGTGTTTTCTTAAGTGTTGTAGGATCCACTAAATTGCAAAGCCCTTCTTGTGAAAGAACACATAAATGTGAGACTATAAATTTTGCTACCCACATTTAAGATTAATTAACACCAGAGAAAGACAGAAAGACCCCAGCCCAGCTATATCCTGCTGGTTCAATGTTGAATGCTGCAGATCCACAGGAAGGCTCATATTGACCCTTCCATTGAACTCTTCCTTCAGCTAACCTTATGACATGGTCAGGTAGGCATGTGTACAGGGAGGGAGGTATACTTCTGAAATCATGAGCAATTCTCACGTGAGAGTCACATATCAAACAAACAAACAAACAAAAAATAGGTGCTGTGGCATAAGAGCCAGGCAAGTCTGCCTCACTAACATACGTGTGTTTCATACCTGTCTTGTCATGGATTCACGCTAATCAATTACCCCCCTAATCAATATGTTTTTTACTTGTGTAGGACTAAAAAAAAAAAAAGAGTCCCTTTAAGGATGTGAGGATTATATAATGAGAAAGAGTGAAAAACCACATCTAAATTTCTTGTTATCTGCCCTTCAAAGCCTGGAGAAGTTGGGGAAGTCATACCCAAAACGTCATAAAGCAAATCTCAATTACTGGAAATGTCCTCATTGTACTAGAAGTTTTGTATTTAATTCTAGAGACCTTTCCCCCAACATGAGTCTTTTTAAAAAATATTTATTTATTTTTAAGTTTTAGGTGGACACAATATCTTTATTTTACATTTATGTGGTGCTGAGGATGGAACCCAGTGCCTCGCATGTGCTAAGCGAGCGCTCTACCACTGAACCACAACCCCAGCCCCAACATGAGTCTTATAACAAAATTTTAGTCTCTTTTATAAGCATTTCCTCCAATCCTGGATATTGAAAGTATAAAAAGATAGAGATAATTGGGCATGTTGTAGAATCTGAAAAATACTTCTCCCCTCTTCTCTTTTGGTCCTTTTCCTCCTCCTCCCCCCCCTCCTCCTCCTCCTTCCCCCCCTCCCCCTCCTCCCCTTCCTCCTCCCTCCTTCTTCTCACCTCCTCCTCCTCTCCCTCCTTTTCCTCCTCTTACTCCTCCCTGCCCCTCCTCCTCCTCCCTCTTCTCCCCCTTCTTTTTCTTGACATGGCCTCACTATATTTCCTAACCTGGCCTCAAGCTCACAATCCTTCTAGTCTCAGCCTCAGAGTAGCTGGAACTTCAGACACATGCCATTATGCCAAGATAGAATCGGGATTCTTGAATCTTCCTTACCCTCTAATAATTGTACCAACAATATTTCCAGGGAAATAATGAACATAAACAATGTTAGAAAAATCATCGCTCCTTAATATTGGGAACTTTCCTCAAAATAAAGTTAGGGGTCAGTGAAGTAGAGATTAGGCGCACTACTACTTAAATCTGAGTTAGGTCTGAGACCATAAATTAAGATGGCACCAAATAACATAGATCTATTAGCCCATTGAAGGCTTGGGCCTGTTGAGTTTACTAAAAAGTCTAGTCCAAATAGGCTCAAAATCAGAAAGCAAAAGGATAAAACAGTGTTTGCCCCAAAGAGATTTATATTCAAGCTCTGCTTCTTTCCAGGGATGGCAATTCACGTAGAAGGCATGTGTACTGGGAGGGATGCCATACCATCCAGATCTTTAGCAATTTTTATGTAAGAATTTCATGCAAATAAAAGAAGAGCAGAAATTACAGTCTAAAATACAGAGAAAAGCAGGGCTTGTGTTAATACAGGCTTGGTTTATTCCCTTTTCTTGCCATGGTTCAAGGGTTTTTCTTTCTTCCTCAAAGAAAATAAGGTACATTCTAAATTCATCTCAAATTGGAAGTGTCCAAAAGCCCCACAGTGCTCTAAGCCTGTGGAAACGGGTGTCCCTTTCTGAAAGGGCTCCATTCTGGAGCATATGTCTTATCTCTGGTTTGTTTTTAAATCTAGTAATTGAGGAGGTTCTGGTTTTCTTTACCTGAACTGCAATTGCCAAAGGAATGAAGCACAGCTGTGATATCCGAGTTCACATTCTACTTCCAAACTAGTACCTCTAACTTCTTTCTTGACATTCCAAATATCCTCATTGAATTAATTAGTATGTGTAATTAATACAAGTTAATAAAAAACAAAAATCCTATCTGTCTTGAAGGGACTCTACTCCCTTTTCTAACTTAAATTTTATAATAGCAGCTCTCAAATTAGCAGCTTGCATGATACCTTTCTCAACTGTATGCATCTCCATCCTCTCAAAATTCCTTGAGTGACATAAATGATTTATAAAAAAAAGATTGGTGATACTGGTTTTGCTACAGAATTTAACTGTACAAAACATACAAAGTTTTTTTTCTTTCCTCTGTGTTCTGTAGATTTTGCTTTTCATCTTTGTCAGATGTTTTATGGATGCCAGTGAGCTCCAGCATCACAGATCTCTGATGTAACTCCCTCCCATAATGTAAATTTAATTAGGTTTGAATCAATAGGGATGCAATAACATCTATTTCTTTTTTTTACAGATTTTTTCTAATTAGGAAATGAGTCTTTTCATCCGAAACAAAAGAGGCTGGATGACTGTAAAAGAGATGATATAAAACTTTGAGGAAGAAGCATTTTGTACCAAGAACCTATATTTTTTAGCAAAGCCAAGTAATCACCAAAGTGTGGGAGAAAAATAAAAAATTTCCTGGAGACTCAAATATTTCTAGAACATATTATATGAATGTCTTATTTACAAAATTTTGAGATTATTTATGTCAAATATAATTGCTTCATAAGAATTCAAGCTGTGTTAATACCTAATTGTAGGAAAAGTGATAAGCTAATAAACAAATGTTTCATAAAATCTAAACATTGCCCTGAAATAGTCAAAACATATCATAATCAGAAATATAAATAAAATGGAACCTCTGGTTTTCAGTCTGAGACTCAAGTTGGATGAAATTATAAAATAGAAGATATTTGTTTTTCAGGCCATAGGCTTACAACTTAAGAATAAAAGCAATTTTAATGAAAAGAGATGGAAAACAAATTCCTGAAGACTCATAGAATACACCAATATTTACATTAGTATTATACAGAAAGCATAAATACTATAGATAAAGAAGACCACTACATGTTAGCACAAGGTGTCAGTATTTGGAATTTTTAATATCTGGTTTGTATGTGGTGCTATCTTCTTGAGGTTTCAATTTTTTTGTATTCCATTATGACTGCTCATCTAATCTAGTATAAAGTAGAGGGGAAAGCAACACTTTTAAACACACTACACTTGTCTAACTCAGTGCAAAATCAATCCAAGGCAATTTGTAAATGTCTACATGAGAGTTTAAGATAAGGACCTATTAGAAATTAATCCAGGACATCACAGAAGAAAAACTTGATGTGAAACTAACACTAGATAAGGATTTCTGAAGAAGGTAAGTTTTGAATTAGACTTTTAAGATAGTTTGTACCTCAGGCTTACAAGAGAAAAATAAACCAGGCACCTCGTGGTTCTAAAGATTAATACTTTTGCTAAGAATGGCTTGTTTTACGTAGTCTTGTCTCTCTCCTGAGTTCTTGGTGTTTTTAAAAGCTTATGGATTAGAAGAATTAATATGGTCCAAATGTCTGTACTACTGAAAGTGATTTATAGATTAAATGCAATCCCCATTAAAATATCAATGACAACCTTTACAGAAATAGAGAAGTAATTTTAAAATTCATATGGAAGCACAAAAAAAAATCACATAGCCAAAGCAATCTTGAGCAAGAGGAACAAAGCTGGAGACCTCACGAAACAGGATTTTAAGACATATTACTGAGTACTAGTAACCAAAACACACAACCTGGTATCAGGATAAAAACAGACACATAGATCAATGGAACAGAGTGGGTTTCTTTTACCCCACTAAGTCTTCTATCCAGAAATATGTGCATCTGTAGTCAATTAATTATCAAAAAAGTTGTCAAAAACATATTGGAGAAAGGATAGCATCTTCAATAAATGATGCTAGGAATACTAATACTAAATATACATTATTCAGAATATTGAAACCTCACCCCTATTGCTCACCCTGTGCAAAAATAAATTCAAAGTGGATCTAATACCTAAATGTATGACTGAGTGTGGGAGGCCATCCTCGCAGGTGATTTGAGTTACCTCCCTGGCTGGGTGAGAGGCGCTTAGACACAGCTGTGTCAGAGCTTTCCCCACCCTTCTCCAGGTCCGAGGGCTTGTCTGTGCAGAGGCGTGTCTGGCCACTGCCTCAAAGACCCAGTCGTCGCCCCTGACCTTGGGATGCTGCCCCTCTTAACCTTCATTGGATGGGATTTTCCCCAGAAGTTTTTGTTCCCCAATAAAAGCCCACTCCCTCTCTTGCTAGTCTCTTCTGTAAACCTCGCTGCAGCATTAGGTGGCTGGAGGCGGGAGCTAGGAGAAGCCGTCCTGGAGCTGGTATTAAAGGTAATTAGAGTCTTGTCTCTTTAATTTAAAACTCCCTAGCAATTACTCATGAATTGAACCTTCTTTCATGAAGCCAGCTCTGGTCGCGTGGTAGACCTGAGACTACAAAAATATTGGAAGAAAACATGATGAAAATATCTTAAGATGTTGGGACAGGCAATTATTTTCTGGATTGGACCCCAAAGCACAGGAAACAAAATAAAAGATTGACAAACAGGATTATACCAAACTGTAATGCTTCTATATGGCAAATTAAGCAATCAACAGAGTGAAGAGATAACGTACAGAATGGGAGAAAATCCTTGCCAGTTATTTATCTGTTAGAGAATTAATATCCAGAATATAAAAGGAACTCAAAAACT